AAGGGGGCATTTTGGCAATATTGCTACAAACGACTTCTTCTGTAGAACTATGCACTGGATATCAATCATATTTAATCAGAAGCATTCATGGGAGGCAGGGATTCAAAATTGTACAAATGGTGTGGCTGACCCCCGTGGCGGCTAAGGGGCAGGGCCAAAAAGGGTTATTTAGCTATATTACTTAAAGCGACTTCTTCTCTGGAACTAAGAGATAGATATCAACCATATTTGACTGGAAGCATCCCTAGGTGGTCGGGATTCAAAATTGTACAAATGGTGGGGCTGACCCCCCAGGGGGCTGAGGGCTGGGCCAAAAGGGGGCAATTTGGCTATATTGCTATAAACGACTTCTTCCAAAGAACTATACCATGGATATTGATCATATTTGGTCGGAAGCATTCATGGGAGGCAGGGATTCAAAATTGTACAAATGGTGTGGCTGACCCCCTTGGCTAAGGGGTGGGGCCAAAAAAAATATATAACTTGGAAATGGTTGAGATCCCCACCATATAACCATATATACAATTGCTGAGTATAAAGAGAGGAATGCACATTTGCTTCCAGGATGGATCTAGGGTCTGGCCCCACCCTTGGAGACTTAACCCCTGGGTCATAACTTTGAAACGGTTAAGATCCCCACCCCAAAACTATATATACAATTGTTGGGCATAAAGAGACGAATGCAGTCATGATATTAGAATTGACCCCAGGGTCTGCCCCACCCTTGCAGACATAACCCCTGGGTCATAACTTTGAAACGGTTGAGATCCCCAACCCAAAACTATATATACGAATGCTGGGCAAAAAGAGACAAATGCAGTCATGATATTAGAATTGATCCTGGGGTCTGGCCACAACCCTAGGGACCTAGTTTCTGCGTCACAGCTTGGAAACAGTTGAGATCCCCACCCCATAACCATACATAAAATTGCTGGGCATAACAAATCAAATACAGATATGCTACAAGGATTGGCCTTGTGGTCTGGCATATTCCCTTGGATCTCATTTGGACTTTGACTTTGAAATTGACTCCTGGCCCATATAAACAAAATTAAGGGGATGTTACTCTGTATACGAAAACCACAGTAACAGTGGGACCGGTATCCTTAAATTATGATTTCCCATGGCTTACATTTATATTCTGTCACTCTTGCCTGGACAAGATTCCTTGAGTTCTATGAAATGGAGTTTTATAATCGTTGAAATGGCAGTTACTTTGGTAAATTACTGTGTATTCTCCGATACACATATCCTTGAGTTTGACAGATGGAGCATTGGGGAAAACAAACTAGATCTTGGCGGCTTTTGTGACGTCTGCCAGCCGAAATTGTTTATTTGCTGTCAAATTTTAACTGGCCTGGACCGTAAGCCTTTGTTTTATTTTGATATCCAAGAATTTCAGTGACAGGCTTCAGAAGTTATATGTGATTATATGTCTGTGTCTTGGTTATTTGCCAATGGTTGGCTGTGTTATATTGTTTTTACGATGTTCCTTTTCCTGGAATACAAATATCCAGTCCTGCAATTGTGGTAAAACCTGATTGCCTGAACCAGAAAGAAAATGATAAAATGAGAAGCTGATATTGCAAAATGTTAACCTTGATTGGATAGACCACATGTGGATATGCGTCACGATGTTGGTCGGACTGTGCACCTCTGACAAATTTATCACCATGGTAACATGTTTTGTTACCTCAAACTCATCACTAATATCATGTTTTTCTTTACTGCAATCTGTATATCATCATACCATGTCTATATACTGGAAAAATACTTATTTTAGTGCTCTCAAGTTTTAGCGCATTTTCATTTTTTTTCAGATTAACACTGACGTATTGGCACAACCCCAATATATGCGTTAAAAAACTGGACAGAAGCTCGATCAGATAAAACAATCATAATTTAGAGCAATATTACAAGTGCAGAATGTGCTTAAAGCTAAGATGACTGCCAAAATGTTTACGCTGACAGTATTATAAGTATTTCATTGATAGGACAAAAACCATTGGTTTTAAAATCTATTTTTAAATCCTATACATGTATATCTACAATATATGTATTCTATAGATAGATATTTGTGTGTGAATATTTTTGTGCTATATCATTCAATGCCAAAAACACAAGCATTTCCCACACCCCAAAATTGTCCACTTTCACAGTGATATTTTATAGGACTGCTGAATATAAATGTAGATACATACGGGATCAGATTAGTGGTCTTAAATTACGGCTGTAGAGGCTAGTTCTTGAACTGGTTATCAGCCATGATTGTTTGGTTGTAAGGAGTCCAATCCCTATGGAAATATAGGGCATTGCTTAAACAGACTGTGGCCTAAATAGCAAGATGGACATCCAAATCAGACCCATGCCCAAGGGCTTTAGTGACCTGTGCGAACTCTTCCACATGCCAGACAAACGTGCTGCCCTCTGTTAAAGGAAATGGATGCCATTCCGAGTGAAGGAGTGGCAGCTAAGCCTTCATTGTCAGAATAACCTATTTCTAAACGAAGCTAATGAAGTTAACTATCTGTAAAATTTGTGCAAGAAGCTACATTGAGTAGCTAGATAATAAATGAAAGCATAGCTCTTAAAAAAAAGCTAGAGAAGAAACATATTAGCAATGCTCTTCTTGAGTGGCTCAAGAGCCAACAGATTAGCTAGAGAACAACAGACTAGCACAGTTTCTGTTTAAAGTAGCTAGAGAATCAACAGATTAGCTAGAAAACAACAGATTAGCACAGTTTCTGTATAAAGTAGCTAGAAAACCAACAGATTGGCTTGAGAAAAACAGACTAGCACAGTTTCTGTATAAAGTAGCTAGAGAACAAACAGACTAGCACAGTTTCTGTTTAAAGTAGCTAGAGACCCAACAGATTAGCTAGAGAACAACAGACTAGCACAGTTTCTGTTTAAAGTAGCTAGAGAACCAACAGATTGGCTAGGGAACAACAGACTAGCACAGTTTCTGTTTAAAGTAGCTAGAGAATCAACAGATTAGCTAGAAAACAACAGATTAGCACAGTTTCTGTATAAAGTAGCTAGAAAACCAACAGATTGGCTTGAGAAAAACAGACTAGCACAGTTTCTGTATAAAGTAGCTAGAGAACAAACAGATTAGCTTGAGAACAACAGACTAGCACAGTTTCTGTTTAAAGTAGTTACAGAACCAACAGATTAGTTAGAGAACAACAGACTAGCACAGTTTCTGTATAAAGTAGCTAGAGAACAATAGACTCGCACAGTTTCTGTATAAAGTAGCTAGAGAACAAACAGATTAGCTTGAGAACAACAGACTAGCACAGTTTCTGTTTAAAGTAGCTAGAAACCCAACAGATTGGCTTGAGAACAACAGACTAGCACAGTTTCTGTATAAAGTAGCTAGAGAACAAACAGACTAGCACAGTTTCTGTTTAAAGTAGCTAGAGAACCAACAGATTGGCTATAGAACAACAGACTAGCACAGTTTCTGTATTAAGTAGCTAGAGAACCAACATATTGGCTTAAGAACAACAGACTAGCACAGTTTCTGTATAAAATAGCTAGAGAAGAAACATATTAGCAATGCTCTTCTTGAGTAGCTCAATAGCCAACAGGTTAGCTAGAGAACCACAGACTAGCACAGTTTCTGTTTAAAGTAGTTACAGAACCAACAGATTAGCTAGAGAACAACAGACTAGCACAGTTTCTGTTTAAAGTAGCTAGAAAACCAACAGATTGGCTTGAGAACAACAGACTAGCACAGTTTCTGTTTAAAGTAGCTAGAGAACCAACAGATT